TGATGTTTTTCTTAGTTTTGTTTGTACATCCTTTTTTTGGTGATGAAAAAGGGGGAGAAGTCTGTTCTAGTTTGTTGTCTTGCTTGCTTAGACTTATGTTCATGTATGTTGCTTATATTTACTTATGTTTCAATGAAATGCATTTTTCCTTTTTTGTCTATTTTGTGATGTTTCTATTAATAATAAAAAAAAGTCATTCAAATTTGCTTATACCAAACATTATTTGACATCATCAAAAATGGGGAGATTGTTGTAATCCATGACCCCTAGTTTGAGATTTTGATGATGACAAATAATTTCATATGAATTACTATTCATTGAATACCTTTGATTTTTACTATTATCTGTGAGTATTAACATTTCAAGAAGATCACAAGTTACTCAGAACAACAAGAAGACTCAAGACTATGTAGAGTAGGAGTGTGAGTTCATAACATTATAATTTTTCATTTATTTTTTTTTTATTTTTTTTTTATTTTGGCCACAAACTCTATATAAGACTGAGAAACCATGCACACACACAGGGGGAGAAGATTTTTTTAAAAGAAAATGTAAATTTTTTCTCTGTTGATCGTACTATATGAGTTTATAGCATACTGTACGATCTGCTCTGGATGAAACGTCTTTCTATAAACAGGTCGTACTGTACAATTTATATGGTATTGTACGATGTGTTTCTAATCCAAAACCCTAGCAGCCATATTAGTTTAAAATTTTTATTTAGTTGTTCGTACTATACGATGTATTTTAACTATTTAAATTAACCTGTGAATAGTGGAATAAATCAATGATCAATTTCTGATTGGTAATCATATTGTACTAACAAGTTCGTATCGTACGATAAACCGAGACTATTTTTGATCGTCCCGGACTTCGTCCTAGACGATCTCTTAATTTTGACTACTCGTACTATAATAAGTAAGTCATACCTTACGATGTACAGAGATGAGTTTTGATTGTCCCAGCTATCATTGTGTGCGAACATAAGAGATTTTTCGATCATACGGTACGAGTTTATATCGTACTATACGATTATATTGCAGATTTTTGACATGTTTGTAAACCTTCGTACCGAGACGAAGCTCGTTTGTACTAATCGTACTGTACGATATTAAATCGTACTATACGATAGTAACGGCTACTTTAAAAAATTCAGGTTTTTTTCGGAGCCCATTTTAAGTATAAAAAAGTTATGTTTTTGGTGTGTGACTGTGAGAGGGAAACATGATTAGAGAGGGTTTCCTTGGGAGAGATCTCTTGAGAAGATTTTAGGGTTTGAGAGAGGAAAGAGAAGGTGAGCTTTGTGAGGGAGAATTAATGTGAGGGAGATCACACGGTTGCTTCATTCTTGTTGCACTTTGTTCCTCTTGTGGCTCGAGAAGATTTTATGGGAGGCTCTCTGAGGGAGAGACCCATCTACATCTGTGTCCTCTAAGGTACTCTGCCTTCTCTAAGAGGGAGAAAAATGAGAAGGTACGCTGCTGTCGCCAGGAGGGTGACAGCGCTTGGCACTCCGCCACGCCGGGTTGGTGAAAGTGAGACTTGTAAGGGCTTCTCCGCCTTGCCAAGGGGGCAAAAGGGGAACTATTATTCATAAGTGAAATTTTCGGAGTCGAGGACTCTGGGGAGTGGACCTAGCTCAAGTGACCGAACCACTATAAAATCTCTGGTGTGATTTTTTCATTACCGCTTTTATTTTTGCTTGCATTTTATTTTCATTAAAATTGCTTGGTGAAATTCATTGTGAAATTCGTTGTTGCTATTTGTGTTCAAGTACTCACTTCCGCATTAGTTAAATTTTTCTATTAAAATTTTAAAAACATAAAAAATATTAGAACTCCTGTTTAGGATTTTTTATTGCAACAAGTTTTT